CAGAATTCCCCAGCCAGCATGGCTGGCTGGGGAATTCTGGGAGTTGAAGTCCACACATCTTATAGTGGCCAAGTTTGAAAAACACTGGGCTAGGCCTTGCTTTGCAAGAAGCGTCTGGGTTTTTGAAGCCAATGGGATAAAAGACTGGTTAATCCAGTGGTCACATCCTGAAAAACAATAACTCAGTTTTGGAAGGCGCAAACAGGTTAAACAATGAACCGCTTGCTTGAGTCACCCACAAAACCCCAAGGAACTGAAATTGGGTGGCAGCTTTGCAGAACCTAGCTCTTTTCTTGCATGCAAGGAGAGCCCATGAAGCTCAGATCATAACATATCCAGGCGTGATGAGCTGAGCTGGAACAGCTAGGATTGCAGACCAAGTATGATACGTTGGGGGCACGGAGGGAGACAGACCTCCTTCAAGGCTGAAAAACAGCCTTGGGGGAGAGCCAGGGGGCTCTTATGTGAAATTTTGGGAGAGAGCTGGACGCTAAGGGGAAAAAACCAGGGAGAGAGTCAGAAATGAAGGATGGGTCAGGTGGGTGGCAAAGAAGAGACAGGCACGGTTATTGGAGTGGGGCAGGGGGGGTGGCTTAGATGATCTTTCAGATCCAGTGGATCAATTGTGGGGGGCACCGTGGCCCTTCTCTAGAGGACAGCCTTTCAGCGCGACGGGCTAGTTTGGAAAATGGGCCCCAGTCCAAAAGGGCTCACGATTTACCGAGAGCTTTTCCACCTCACCACATGCCTTCCCTCCACGACTGGCACTTCAATGGAGATTTTTAATATGCAAAAGGTGATTGTTTACCCTGGGTGTCCCGTGGTACGTTTAGCAATTATTCCCGAATCGTCGCTTTCTGCGCGTCGCTTTCCCTTTCTTCTGCCCCGTCGCCTCACCTTTCCTTCCCCAATCCCCCCTCTTGAGCGTTGCACGCCAACCGTCTTCTCAAAGCCCGACAGCACAGCAACCACCGGCTTGTGTCTCCGGGAACCGTAAACCCTGCAGCGCGTCCTTGCCGATGGAATGAATTTTTCATGGAGCCACAGAAAAAGACCCTTAATAATTTACAGGCCTGCCTGTGGAGGAGGGAGGGAACCCAGGGCAATCAGAAAGCATTTTCTAGGGTCCTGTTTTTCAACCTTGGGAACTTGAAGAGGGGTGGACTTCAACTCCCAGAATTCCCCAGCCAGCAACGCTGGGAGTTGAAGTCCACCCCTCTTCAAGTTCCCAAGGTTGAAAAACACTATTCTAGGGTTTCATCCTGGGGAAACTTCACAACTTGACTCGAAATTCTATGGTCAAACTCCCCACCCGATTGTGGTCTCCAGAATGCAATTTCAGGGGAGGGGCCAGATCCAAGGGGGCGTGTCCTTTGCCCAGCATGCTTGCTATTAGCTCCTCCCCATCGTTATAAAGCTCCTCCCCATCTTACAGACCCCTTACTCACATAGCTGGGGACTAAGAGTCCACTGGGGTGGGGGGCTATAATAAATTCAAATAATAATAAATAATAATTATTTATTATTATTAGCCCCCTGATTTGCCAGGCTCCACCCCTTAGTTCACAAGCCTCTCTCCTTGGATCTCTGTAGACCCCCGGAAAAGAAACTGAATATTCAATAAAGGGCCAAAAATGGGGAATTATCAGCCACCCGTCATTATGCGAAGAGCCCTAATTCTATCCAGAAGACAGCCTAGTTAATTAAAGAAGAACAGGAGAGACGTCTATGTCACGAGGGGCCTCTGGTGCTTTTTTGCCTCTGACTTTAACTCCAACCAGCCAGCATGGCCAAGGGTGGGGAATTATGGGAATTCTAGTCCAAAACATCTGGAAGACGCCCA